TACAAATTTGTATCTCCACTTTCACATCACTTTTTCAAATTTAAACTCATATAAGAGAAACGCAGGAAAATTCTCGTTATTCATGAAAGCAAATAAACGAGATTCGTATTTTTTAACGATAGAATAAAATTGGATAGGTTCATCAAATTAAATATAAAATAACATACATCAATCTAATATGGGAAAATGGTGATATTCGGTGTTTCGGAAAATCTAAAAAAGAAGATGGTAACTTTTAATTTTGATACGCCGCAAAATTGCCAGAAGATAAATTACACGGGCGTGAATAACGAAGTGCTGGTATCCAGAGGCACGAGAGAGCGGATGATTTTATATCTTCGCTAAAATTTTACACGTTTGTTACGCGTTGGTACAATGTTCATTCGACAAAGAGAGAAATGATTTATTTACCGATCGACGCATATGATAAACCCCATCGTCGGTTATTTGCATAATGATTTATATTTTATTTGTTAACTTTGATCGTTTAATCAAGACCGCGCGTATTTACCGATTCTGTGTTCTTTATCAACCCATACACACTCCATTTCCACCGGTGTCCATAAATTTCTAAATATTTTTCATTAAAATTATCACGAATCTTTCCTCTCTGTTGTTTCCGCGCGTTTCCATCGTTACGACTTGCACAATTCATCGACGCGATACGAAAACCACCCACTTGTATTTTCCTGTTGCGAAAACGAAAACGAAGAAGCCATGTACCTTGTAACTGACACGCAGATCAAACTACGATCAACGACGAACAACAATTTTGGTAACGCGAGTTCTCCATAAAAGTCGATCTCCATCCGAAAAACGCCTCCAGGAAGCGTGGATAGTTTTTTTTCTCGTTTTATATTTCCAACAACGGAACCATGTTCCATTGGAAAAAGCCTGCCACTGCGAAAAAATGTTTCTAATAATTGCTGGAAAAATCCGCAGGCCGACCGATCAATCAATAACGGAGAACGATATTGTTTTGCGACGCTATCGATGCACATGCTAGTCGGATACTCGTCTGACAGCAGGTGACGGTGACAGGTGTCAATTTCGAGGTGACTGCTGTCAAGGAACGTTACCTTCTGTCATCGACGTTAAATTATGACCGTTTTCCCAACGCGATTCTTGCCGCCAGTTTAAATGCTGTTCCCACTTGTTTGAAGTATTCTCTTCAATGGATACAAAACATGGTAGAGGAACAGACCACGGGAAACATGTCGCGTGTGTTGACACGATATCATTTTTCGATGGATCACAGATCATATAGGAAAATGAGAATCCTTGTTTAACTTAGTCCTTTGGCTAGCAAGGATGATGTTTATTTGTCTAAAAACTTCAAGATGGATTGAGCTATACGAAACCAAGGATATTAAAGACTTTAAAGCTGTAATGTGCATATATATCGAATTATCGACAACTGTACAGCACAGAACATAACGATTCTAAACATTTGATCGACGTTTGATCCAGTATTTATGGCATTTGTAGGGCGAAATCGAGATTCATTTTATTTTCATTTACCCTTTTTTTAATCCTCGAATATTACCACAACGAATACCATGACGTAGCAACAAAATTCTGTTGCACGTAACGACAAGTCCAAATAAAACGTTTCTCCACTGACCGACATCTTCCTGGAAACAAAAGAACAATTCCTCAAGATCTAGCACTCGAAACTCTGCAGCACAGCTCGCGACATTTTAATGCCCTCGATCCTGAATTTACGAAAACTAAGCCGAATCTAAGGAAACCGTGCTTAAACGCAAGAAGAAGACTTCTCGTTATCCGTGGGTAACGAGTCGTGTCTCGTATCGATGCCAGACAGCCTGCCCCTCTACACAGGCATCGGCTCTGGTTCGATCAATTTCCACGCGGAGCGCAAAGAATTGCGCTTCCGCCGTCGAAGCCGCTGTCACCGGTCTCTGCTATCCTCCCGCTCCCCCTTTGCCGCATCTGCGTCAATTACAGACGAACTTGGTCGGTTCTCCACAGAGAAGCAAGAGAGGAGAACAGTGAGAGCGAGGAACAGAGACGGACAACATACAAACGAGAGGGACAGAGAGAGAGAGAGAGAGAGAAAGAAGCAAATAGAGGAAGGAGGGTGGTTGAAAGAGGAAAGAGGAGCGGTTCGCTCGGATATACGTGGCAACGAGGACCTCGGATCTTGATGGTTGCGCGTAGCAGAGGCAACGGTTACGAGATGCGTTGGTGTGCGGCTCCGGAGAGAGGAGAGACCGGGCCAGCAAGAACGGCCAGAGGGACAGGGACGGATGAACGAGGCGGAGAGGCGGAGGGTGACGGAGATGGAACGAAGGGTGGCGGTGAACGCTGGCGAACGTGCCAACGGGAGGAGGAAGGGGGTGCGGAAAAAGGGAGGAAAAAAGAGACAGGTACGCGTAGAAGGAGAAATATACAGGCAACGCTCGGAGAGCACGGCGACCGGAGAGAGAATTCAGCGAGAGAAAAAGAGAGAACGAGAGATGTGGTCGCAGGAGGCGGTGGAAGTGGAGGAGGAGTAGCAATCAATACAGAGCCACCAGAGCAAAACCATCCCTCGACTTCTATCTGCCTCTCTCTTGCGCTCGGTTCCTATCGCGGTCTCGCTATCTTTCTTCTTTAACCTCCACCATCCCTCTATCTCCGTTTCTCTCGCTCTCTCTACCCCTAACAGCCACGAATACGACGGTTATATGGATGCTATAGGGCATAGAGCGTCGCTAACAGGGACTTTCGTACGCTTCCACTCGGCTGTGTTGGCCCGGTCTCTTCTCTCTCTTCTCTGTGTATCTCTCGCGTTGTACACACCCGCGCGATCCGGTTCCGTCGAGAGCGACCGCGTCTGCCGCTGCTGCTTCTGTTAGCTGCCACACGGCTCTCTGTGTGCGCATCGACTCTCTCTCCTCTCTGTGTGTTGCTCGGGTTACCTGCGATTATGAGCGATCGTGCGTGCGCCAGTGGACCGGCCGGAGCTCGGAACGCGCGCCCGAGCTACGCGGCTCCGATTTGGCTTGCAAAGAGGTGGTTTGGGTGTTTCGATGAACCAGCGCGCAGGATACCAGCGAAATAATTGGATTTCTCTTCTTTCTTTCGTTATGTCTTTAAAGAACCGTTTCCGTAAATTTCACCCTTAACTACTAATGCAGCACGATCAAATGCGTTAAACATTATGAACATGGATATAGTTTTTGTCTTTGCGAATTTACAATATAATTTGTAAGATATTCCAACGATAAATGCCCGCATAGGGTAGGTCATTTATTAAAATCGTCTTAACAAATTCCATCTTAACAAATGGTTTCACTTAAAAGATTAATTTCACTTTTTCCCGCCACCACTCGATCTACAGAAAACAATTTCCACCATTTGGTTTCCTCCATCGAACAACTTTTGTAGAAATATTATTTTGGTAGATTCAGTTCCTCGCGAGCTATTCTTTGTTACTAGCTTGTGCGTCTCGCGTTAAATTGGTCGTAAACAAATCATTAAGCAGAGGGTTAATATAATAAAGAAATGATAAAGAAAGAGGACAAAGAAGACATTTCTTAGCAAATGAAGTTAACTGGAGACAGATTGTCGTTGTCATGAACAATACTGCGTTCTTGAACCGATAATAATTACACCGCGTGGTTCAATGCTGTGAGCATAATTCAAGGGCGAAGAGAAAGGTTGCTTAGTTGGACGTTCACGATCCCCGTGAACTTGGATTCGCAAGATCATGGACCTTGACTCTGCCGACTCGCTAAACCTTCCATTAATGAAACTAGCGTGAAACGTTTCGATCACTGCGTAAATTACATTTCCTTCGATCAACGAGTATAATGCGAACAGAAAGTCCAGACGAACAGTCACGGAGGATGAGGATTTGTTAAGACATACAGACGCGTGACATTTTAAACCAGATTTCAAACGTTACAAGGTTACACTAGTGTAGTATCGGAATACTCAGGCTGTAAGACGTCGCTGCTGAGTACAGCCGCTTTTCTTTTCATTTTTTGTATCGTGGAAGAAAAATCGGAGAGACTCCGGTCGCCGGGATTCGAACCCGAGTTCCGAACGTTAGCAACCTAAGGCGCTAACCACTGCGCTGCAGTCGTCCGACACCTTTTTAAGATTTAAAGTTTATTGAGTCGAAGAATACAGTTTTAACAGTTTACAGAATTTTTGTAATGATATGTTAGGCAAAGGTACCGATACGCGGCGGTATCGTGTTTAATACAATTTTTGGGTTTAAGCCGCTGGGGAGCGGAGCTTTTTTATGATTTTTTTTTATTTTTTTCTATCCTGAAAACTTGGTCGCGTCGTCCGACACTAGTTAGTGTCGAGTGATGGTATTTGCTATGGAGTGCCGCCACAGGCCTTTTTTTCACGATGCTACACTAGATTATTATGGATATTTATGGATTATTCAAAATGCAAAAATGTATAGAATAATATGTAAAATATCTACCTAACCACATGAAACAAACGTCTATTTAAATTCTATTGCTTTGCTTGTGATTAGATACGGAAATAGATAGCTTTTCATGTTGGATGTTGCATGTACGCGATATAGTGCTTTAACAGGTTGTTAATTAATCAATTAAATGCATTTATTGTTGGCAAAACCGGTTCTAAGTTTAGCGTTTTATTTACGGGAACGTAAGAAGAAATGTGTTTCCATGGTTAGTAATTGATAAAATGGGATAGAAATCCGCGGTCTGTTAATTTGTTCTTTTTCTTAATTTATGTTTCAGCATTGACTACAAAGATTATTCGTTGGTAATTAATTTCTTCGACTGTTCTTAACACGTTGCAATTTAAAGGGAAGGAAAAGAATTTTCAATTTGCAACTTTGCTTACATTATTTATGTTACTGCTATATAGATCATTGTCAATGCTGAGGATAGAAAATAAAATTTAATTTGCCGTGTATTAAAGTCAAATCACGCTGTGAACGAATATGGAGCGACGATCGATTATGGAAGGTAAGGAAAAGCGCGTTAAAATGTTGAAATACTCACAATTAATTACGGGGCCTCAACTCATAGTAAAAGCTGGCTCCACGAGGCTCCATCACATCTGAAACAGAGAAATACGAGGTGCCATTAATATTTCGCTGTCGAACGATTCTCCGCAGTTCCTATATCACCGCCTCGACCAATTAGAATGCAAACACACGGCCATTAGGAAATCTCCGTCACATTTGCATGTTAACCGAAGAGTTTTCTACTCGTTCATTACGCGCCACCGTTTCGCCCTTTATCCTTCGTTTGGTCATTTTTTATTCTCGGTTCGACACGAGACAGTTCTCATAGTTTTAACATATGACATTCCCTAATAGAAAACGATACGTTCATCGAAAGCCTTGAACATTTTTGTATTTTATTTATAATGAATCGATCGAATTCAGACGTAACTATAGGTGCAAATGGTGGTGGAATTTAACAAAATACACGCAATATAAAAATCACAAAATACTGTAAGCAATACGATGCGAAATCAGAGTTCGATTTCAGTTATATCGAAAATACATTCCATTTTTATTAGATAGGAACAATAATCTGATATAAGGAATTAAATTTCAGTTTCTGTTATCTTTGATTTAATTATTAAAGTTGCCAAAAATTATTCTTTCGGCATCTATAATCCTTGAGCTAACAGTTGCACGATAACGCGAAACTTTCGTAAATTTTCAGAGAATATGAAAAGATTAAGGATTGAGAATTTCGAAAAAATTGCACACTCTGACAACTCTATGCTTCGAGTTCGAGCATATCGCAAGAATCAATTTTCCATATCAATGAATGAAAACAGCCGCTCTGCTTACGTGGAACAAAGTACAATAGTGTGCACGCGATTATCGCCATTCATATTCACGGAGCATCCATTTCGCGAGGGATTACAGCCAGCTACTCCTGATAAATATTTATACGTACACGGTGAACGGTGCACCATATGCAACCGAGGGTAAATGTTTAATTTCGCCATGTTTCAGAAGTTCCTGGTGCAAACAGACCAAGTTTCCGTACGAGGGAGCAACTTTGACTGATATCGAAACGATATCGGGCAAATTCGACTATACCGAGATACTTGCAACATACTGTTACGTGTAAGAGGAAAATTAAAGCAAGGACGAATATTTTAATAACTAATATTTCGATCATTTCACTTTGAAATGGAATGCTACGAATATGTATTCCCAGTCCATGAATTAAAAATTCTTTTTACTATTCTATTACAATGTAAATGTACTGTAATTCTTAAAAAGCATAGAACATCCATGAAATAAATTTATTCCATTCCTTGATCTTATCTCAACTCTTTCGTAAAGATTAAGGGTGGATAAAAAAAATAACTCCTGTCAAAATTGATGATTTTTTATGTATAATGTATTTTTTATCTATTATGTAAAAAAGCAATTCGTTGCTTATATACGTAAACTCTCTAAGAGTTTAAACGCGGATAAACAAAGGGACTTTCTCTGTTTAATGGACAGTGTGGCCTTATTTGTTGTTACGATTTGCCAAACAGTCATTTCACAGACGGACGGTTAGAGAAGAAGAAGGATTTCGAGCGTTAGAAATAGACAGATAAGAGAGAAATTATTATTTAGAGTATTGAAGATTGACAGAGGAAGAGTGGTAGTTTAGGACGTGGAAAATCGATTCTCAATTTTCAGGTACACCTTGTACAAAGCTTTGCTATTTATTATTATTTATTGTTATGAATTATCATTAATTTTTACTTCTGTATTTTATGTAAGTATTGTTATAATAAACTCGATTTTCAGATTTTCAGAATCGATCCCTGAATTATCCTAGAATTGAACATTATACATATATACATATATATATAAATCAAAGTTTGTGTGTTCTGCAAAGAGTTCCACAGCAGTCAACGTAACCGCACCAAATTTTCTATGAATATTCTTCAACACCTTGGCAAAAATTCTACCGGGAACCTCAATTACAACCAAATGCGTTAAATTTAAGCCTGAGCAAATTTTTCTATAGTGACTCGATAGGTGATTTTCGATAATTTGAAGACAGAACATGTGAAGAATCGATTTTCCTCGCACGATGGTGCACGTGTATCCTGGATAATTTCAAAATTTAACGTAAAAGTATCACTTTAAAAAAAAAAGCGGGAAATTAAATTAAAGCGAAATTTGAACAAGCGAGGACTTGAAAAAAAATTATGAATATTTAAAAAAATAATTTTGTGAGGGTTTAGACCCTTGAAAGAAGGTTTAATGCCCAAGGTTCAAATTATTCAGCTTCTCAAAAGCGCGAGAAACGCCGGGCACACGCAGCTAGTTTGAACTTTCGCTTAAATTACCAACGACCCAGTTTGTCTATGGACAGCTAATTGCGATATAATTACAAATAATACTCGCAGCAATTTATGATATAATAAATGCCGTAGTAAAAAAAAAAAAAAAAAAATAAAATCTGACAATTCAAAACTACAATATTTTTCCTACTGCAGAAAACAGGGAAAAATTGACAGGATACATTTTTCTCATAAATCTAGCAATTTTGTGCTTTGAAAAATTTATCAATATTACCGGCAAAATGACACTGAAAGTTATTCACATTTTACTGCCCATTCTTTAAACATGTACCGATCGTTAATAACTATGTGAAACTAACTACGGTGGTGGGCAGCGGGTGGAAAATCCAGGATTCTGTCGTCGTCGCGTGTCGGTCAAATTGCTTGTCTCTCTTTCTTCCGATCGTCGACGAACGAAAGTAATACCACAAACGAGTAAATTGATTTCGAAGTGGAAACGCGAACGGAGGTAATATTTGTGGAGGGTCAGTCAGGTTGGTCGTCGCGCTACAAATGAGAGAACGCCACGAAACGTCTGTATATCGGCGTTCGTTAATACGAAATCAATATTACTAGCCGCGTGCGTGTCGTCTCCGTTTTCGACGGCCGTACAGATTTTTCATTGACGATTCTCGACGATTCGAAACGATAAGGGCACCGTAACATCGACTGTTTTTTATTGTGCCAACGAAATACTTTCGTGGCCTCGATCTGTCTTTCTCTCCTTGAGAAATTCGTTTGCTTCTCTAAAAGTCTGCTTCGTATATCACTGATTGTCCAACCAAGTCATAAATCATTGCCTTCTTTCATTTACGGATGTCAGAGGAATTTTTTTCACGCGAGTTTCATTCCATTTCACGATGAAACTGGTCGTACAGAAACTCACGACCGACTTAATGCCATTTTTTATGACAAAGAAAGAGTTTAGTATATTATTTTAATATACGTGACACGCGAAAGTATTTATCTATTTAGTATATCGACATTTATAGAAATAGATAAGTATAAGACACACCTGTGATTATCATAATCGCATTGACAACGTTCGAAACAAATTAGAAAATGTAATTGCAACACGTATGTACTTCATAGAAGTCAGAATACAGTCTTGAAAATACTAGTAGAATTATCATTAACACAAATTATGTGCTTAACACTTTGAGTGCCACGCCGAAATCACGTGTTTCGCCCAGGACGCCACGCGAGTATTTTTATTATTCAAAGCATATAATGGCAAAATAATAATAAATTGGTGATGTAAGACAACATTCTTCCCCAATGGACCGTTTATCTTATTGGTGGTGACCACCGTGGCGCCTTGGTAACAGCTGATAGCGACATATTGTAACAAGGCTTCGTTTGTTTCAACAAACCATTCGCATTCGTTCTTTCGTCGTAAGCAAAACGTCCAGAATACATTGTCGAAACGTGTAGAAGATATTAGTAAACAGTATTTGCTCATTCTATATATAATAGTAAGATGGAGAGACAAGCGTGACATTGTTATGATTTCGACGAAACATTCGGCTGAAATGGTGAAGGTCCGCAAAAAAAGTTATGTTTGTGAGAAACCAATGGTAGTGGTAGATCACAACAGAGGAAAACGTGCTGTAGATTTATCGGATCAAACGATAGCATATTCTACGCCACATAGAAGAACCCTCAAGTGGTATACAAAATTAGCTTTTGAGTTATTGTCTTGATATTGTTTTGAGTTATTGTTATAATACATCAATTTCAAACGCGATGATACTCTATAAACAAGGAACAAAAACAAAAATCAAGGTATCAGCGTTTAGAATGGCACTCGCAGTGCACCTTGCACAGTGCCATTCATCAGAGCCGTCAAATATACTTATTCGAAAAAGATTGCGACACGAAATGCTGAAGAAAGAAGGGCAAGCGTACCTGGCACGAAAATTTTGCAGAGAGTGCTATAAAAAAATGTCAAACAGTTAGGATCAAAAATTGCTAAGAATCGGACCAAAAAGGTGATCACCTATCGTCCAGATTGTATCGATGAGCCACATTTATGTTTAAAGTGTTTTAACACAGTGTACCGTTAAATGCAAGATTTGTTCTCATTCTTTTTTTATTGGTGTTCTAATAAAAATGTTTAATTGTTTAATGGGACACTTTTTATTTCAAAGTATCTTGTATTTATCGGTTACATTCAAAATGCCCCAACTGTCAATTTTCATTCAATTTTTACGATTGTAAGAAGTTCAAAAGCTCCGGTCGCCAATGACCATCATGGTGTCACAGGAAAAACCGTGGCAGTCAATTCACATTGTACTCATTCGTTCAAAATAAAATTGCTTTAAAATTTTACCACTCTAATTGTAATAGCCATTTCTTATTACAGTACCGACGATATTAGGTTGTCCGAAAAGTTTCTTTCGTTTTATGAGGAAATAATAGACGCACAACGTCTTTCGTTTTGTATTATTTTGTACGATCCGGTTTGTTCTGTTTATCTCAGCACAGCGACATTTCACAGACTTGGTTTCACGTTTCTATGAAGTTGCACTGTTGCAAAAAACACGTTTGCAAAAGAAAGACACTTTTCGGACAACCTAATATTTTTAAAAATGTCACACAGATATATGCACAAAAATGTGTTACGATAAGATATTATACTCTCGTACTAGAAATACTTTCGTAAGTCAGTATATGTACCTCGAGTAAGAGCAAGAAAGTTCAAAAACGATCGACAAGGTGATAATTACATTTTAATTAATAGCAGT